TTGCTCAGGCTGGTTTTGAACTCCTGACCTCGAGCAATCCGCCCACCTCGGCCTCCCAGAGTGCTAGGATTACTGGTGTGAGCCACCGCGCCTGGCCTTACTGCTCATGTTTCTTCATCTGAATTGTCACCTCTCAGACTATTCCTTTTATCTGTAGACGAATAGAAAACTGGCACTTGCTGGTGTACCTTTTTTTTTTTTTTTTTTTTTGAGACAGAGTCTCACTTTGTTGCCCAGGCTAGAGTGAGTGCTGTGGCGTCAGCCTAGCTCACAGCAACCTCAACTCCTGGGCTCAGGGATCTCCTGCCTCAGCCTCCTGAGTAGCTGAGACTACAGGCATGCATCTTAAGCCCCGTATATATATATATATATATATATATATATATATATATATGGGGAAGGATTGAGGTAAAATTTTCACTGATGTGGACACCAATTTTCGTTGCAAATGTCTTTCTGGGTGTACTGTAGCAGTGCTACAGCAGTTAAACTGAGGTCACAGCTGGCGTAGGTTGGGACGAACAGACCTGTATAGGCCAAAACAGCTGGAGTTTATATAATCAACCACTCACATGGACTGGAATGGCCTTCTGAAATGTTTTATAATTCAAAAAATGCGAATAACTCCCCACAATCCTCCACTTTATTTAAGATTATTTGAAACGAATGTGTGTTAAAAGCTGAGAAGAATGCTATTCATTAGTTCCTTATAGCTTTTTTCCTCTAAGATCATTCAGTAAGCTGTTTTTAGCTTTTTTTTTTTTTTTGAGACACAGTCTCACTTTGTTGCCCAGGCTAGAGTGAGTGCCATGGTGTCAGCCTAGCTCACAGCAACTTCAAACTGCTGGACTCAAGCAATCCTACTGCCTCAGCCTCCCGAGTAGCTGGGACTATAGGCATGCACCACCATGCCGGGCTAATTTTTTCTATATATATTAGTTGGCCAATTAATTTCTTTCTATTTTTAGTTAAGACTAAAAATAGAAAGGGTCTCGTTCTTGCTCAGGGTGGTTTCAAACTCCTGACCTGGAGCAGTCCGCCTGCCCTGGCCTTCCAGAGTGCTAGGATTACAGGCGTGAGCCACCACGCCCGGCCATGTTTAGCTTTTAAAAAATTTTTTTTTGAAATAGAGTCTCACTTTGTTGCCCAGGCTAGAGTGAGTGCTGTGGCATCAGCCTAGCTCACAGCAACCTCAAATTCCTGCCTACTGCCTAGTCTCCTCAATAGCTGGGACTACAGGCATGCACCACCATGCCCGGCTAATTTTTTTTATATATATTAGTTGGCCAATTAATATCATTCTATTTTTAGTAGAGATGGGGTCTCGCTCTTGCTCAGGCTGCTTTCAAACTCCTGATCTGGAGCAATCCGCCCACCTTGGCCTCCCAGAGTGCTGGTATTACAGGTGTGAGCCACTACGCCCAGCCTTTAAAATGTTTTTGTTGGGAGTTAGTATAGATTTTAGTTAACAAGGGCAACGTTAAAAAAAAAAAATTTTAGATATACTAGAGAGTTAATTAGAGGTAGTTCAGAAAATTCCTATAATAGCCCTCACCTAATTTCCCTGTTGACAGAGTTGTGTTGCCTTTGTGAAAACTAAGAAGCCAAATTGCCATGATACCATTAAGTCACTCCAGAAGAGTACCTTCTTTTTTTTTTTTTTTTTTTTTTTTGAGACAGAGTCTCACTTTGTTGCCCAGGCTAGAGTGAGTGCTGTGGCGTCAGCCTAGCTCACAGCAACCTCAAACTCCTGGGCTCAAGGGATCCTCCTGCCTCAGCCTCCTGAGTAGCTGAGACTACAGGCATCCACCACCATGCCCGGCTAATTTTTTGTATATATTTTTAGTTGGCCAATAATTTCTTTCCTTTAGAGACGGGGTCTCGCTCTTGCTCAAGCTGGTTTCGAACTCCTGACCTTGAGCGATCCGCCCGCCTCGGCCTCCCAGAGTGCTAGGATTACAGGCGTGAGCCACCTGGCCCGGCCGCTGGTGTACCTTTTAACTTATGTGTGAATACTCTACACACATTGTCATAACAGTTTGACATATATATTAATAAGAAAATATATATTGGTTTTCTTACCCCAGTTGTTTTTTTTTTTTTTAAATATTATTAATTCTTACTTTATTTCTTTTTAGAAAATATTTTGCTTTTAATTGGCCTCCTGGGCCAGAACTGCAGCAAGTTTTTTTTTTATTTTAGGTAGGATGGAACTAAACCTCACTATACGGCAGTTGTCAGCTCTAAACTTAACTATTTCTGTGTGGAGATTGCACTGTATTTCATTTGTATTTTTTTTTTTTTTTGAGACAGAGCCTCACTCTGTTTTCCCGGGCTGAGTCTGTTTCCCGGGCTGAGTACTGTGGCATCACTCTGGCTCACAGCAACCTCAAACTCCTGGGCTCAAGCAATCCTCCTGCCTCAGCCTCCTGAGTAGCTGGGACTACAGGCACGTGCCACAGCGCCCGGCTAAATTTTTCTATATATTTTTAGTTGGCCAATCAATTTCTTTCTATTTTTAGTAGAGATGGTGTCTCACTCTTGCTCAGGCTGGTTTTGAACTCCTGACCTTGAGCAATCCACCTGCCTTGGCCTCCTGAGTGGTAGGATTACAGGCATGAGCCATTGTGCCCGGCCACATTTGTTTGTTTTAATTGAAGAAACTGGGCTGCAATCCCAGCACTTTAGGAGACTGAGGTGGGAGGATCGCTTGAAGCCAGGGATTGAAGACCAGCCTGAGCAAGAGCGACACCCAGTCTCTACAAAAAACCAGAAAAATTAGCTGGGTGTGATGGGACATGCCTGTAGTCCCAGCTACTCGGGAAGCTGAGTTAGTGAGGTAGGAGTTTGAAGTTGCAGTGAGCTATGTTCATGCCACTGCACTCTAGCCCCATTGAGTGAGACCCTGTCTGAAAAAAAAAAAAGGTTGAGGAAACCATTTCTTTCAGATTAGATTATAACAAATATTCTTCTAAGAGAGGGCACAATTTTTTTTTGGGTTTTTTTTTTTTTTTATTCAACACATCAATTTTTGCATTCCTTGTCAGGTTTCATGTTTAGTTATGTTTTCATTTTTAGGGATAGACTGTAGTACGGACAGGTAGTATAGAAATGAATTGCTGTGAGAAACTGAAAAACTAAAATGAGTATCTTTTTTTGGTTGGGGTGCAACAAGCAGAATGAATTTTCTTAGTAATAAAAGTTAGCTAATTTGGTAGCTAATTTTGAAATTATCTCACTATTTTGAGTGTTGAAGTATCAGTGGGTAAAATTCTATGCAGGAGAACAGTGATCCACATGATAAACCACCAAATAATGTGAATTTGTTGGGAAAACATTAAATGATAAATTATAAAATTTTGAATAGTTTTTTGTTTGCTGACATGTAGGGATAAGTTTTCTGAGATTTATAAAATATGGGGAATCTGTTTACCTCATTGCTTGTGGATGGATGTAGTATGTATGGAATGGCTCTCAGTTACTTTAAAAGTGAATTGAGCCGGGGGTGATGGCTCATGCCTATAATCCTAGCACTTTGGGAGGCTGAGGCGGGTGGATTGCTCAAGGTCAGGAGTTCAAAACCAGCCTGAGCAAGAAGTGAGACCCCGTCTCTACTGTAAATAGGAAAAAATTAATTGGCCAACTAAAAATACACAGAAAAGGGGGGAAATGGGCATTTATTGAAACCTTAAAATCTGTACCCCCATAATATGCCAAAATAAAAAAAATAATTAAAAAAAAAAGAAAAGAAAAAAAAATACACAGAAAAAAGAAAATTAGCTGGGCATGGTAGTGGATGCCTGTGGTTCCAGCTACTCGGAAGGCTGAGGCAGAAGGATTGCTTGAGCGCAGGAGTTTGAGGTTGCTGTGAACTAGGCTGATGCCACAGCACTCTAGCCTGGGCAACAGAGTGAGACTCTGTCTCAAAAACAAACAAACAAAAAATCTCCTGTGAATCAAAAAGCTAAACTGCTTTCTTTATCATCAAAGAAATTGCTGTGAATTAACGAAATATTTCTAAATGTTAACTGATGTTTCCAAATATTAAAAAGGGTTTTTTTTTTCTTTTTATGGTTATAGATAAATCATTTTCTGTTTCCTTTAGCTGATTCCATTCCTATTCTGTGACAGTTGAGTGAAATTTTAAGTGTTTTTTCTTTTTTACGTTAGATGGGTGATGTGACAACATCAAAACAAGGTTTGAGGGAGGCGCATCTCAAGAATGGGCATGAAAACCCTATCATCATGCTTATGAACTACGCAAGGATCAAGTTTTAAGTCTTAAATGTCCTTGTTTCCGGCTATGTATTAGAAAGTAAAGATGAAATTTTCATAAAGAACCCTATTTTAGTTACCTTTTGAGCAATTTCATAGCGAGAGCGAGATTTGTCTTTGTTTTCTTCAAAGATCAGAAAACAGTCTGGGTGCAGTTGCTCCTACATGTAATCCCAACACTTTGGGAGGCCAAGGTGGGCGGACCTCTTGAGACCAGGGGTTTTAGAACAGTCTGGGCAACACAGTGAGAGCCTATTATTTTGTAGAGACAAAAAATAAGAAAAATTATCCAGATGTAGTAGTGGTGTGTGCCTATAGTCCCAGCTACGTAGGAGGCTGCGGCAGGAAGATCACTTGAGCCCAGGAGTTTGAGGATGCAGAGAACTATGATTGTGCCACTGCATTCTAGCCAGCGCAAAACAGCAAGACCCTGTCTCTTAAAAAAATACTGTGTATACACATGTGTACGCACACTCAGCTGCACACACCTTGTGCTAACTCTATTGAGTAAAAATTTTCCAGGACCTCTGGGATTTACTTTTTGCCCGCTAAATAAGAGGACTGGATTCTATTTTTTACAAAATTGTCTAGTTTATTCATATTAGCAAACTTATAAATTGAGATTATATACTATGGCGATTTTTTTTCTTCTGGAATAAATAAGCTTTATTTTCTTTAATTGAAAAAGCAATTCATGTGATGGAAGAAGTCTTTGGAAGTGAGAAAAAAAGAAGTAGAAAGATTTATAATCTTTTAAATTAAAAAAGTTTAAATAAATGATAAAAAAAGAAGAAGAAAAGCAATTCAGTAAGATAAAATGGTTAAATCAATGAAACAGCCTGACTTAGATGATGACTTCCATTTTCTTCAGTATATACCCAGATTCCTATTTGAACTGAAACATTTAATCCTATTGCATATGCTACTAGTTGATAACTTGCTTTAGTTATATCAAGGAGCTCTTTCTTTTCTTTTTTTTTTTTTTTTATGTAATCAAGATGTTTGTAAAGGAGCTCTTTCTATGTGTACCTGTAAACTGGTTAAATGGCTACATACTGCTCCATTTATGGATCTACTTGAGTAGATAGTCTCCTTCCTAAGTTAGATGTTTTAGGAATTCTCCCATCTACTTTATTCTGTTGACCATTTTGTTTGTACTTAACTATTTTTATAATTATTAGATTATTTTCATTCAATATGAGCCTAGAAATAATCATTCCTGGATCAGAATGTATACTAATGAAAATTTGGGTACTGTTTTCAGCTGGCCTTCTAGGAAGGTTACAATCAGTACATGCTCACCAGAACTGTATGAAAATAGCTGATCCACCTTAACTATCAGGTGTGTGAATATATTTAATCTTTATCAAATCTTAGGGGTAGAAAATAACTTGTTTTAATATGTATTATTATCATTTTTTTATTAAGACAGTTTCTCTTGTTGCCTGGGCTACAGTACCATGGCGTCAGCCTAGCTCACAGCAACCCTACACTCCTGGGCTCAAGTGAGTCTCTTGCCTCTGCCCCCCAAGTAGCTGGGACTACAGGTGCATACCACCATGCCCAGCTAATTTCTTTTTTTATTTTTTAAAAGTTGTTTTTGGCTAATTTCTTGAGCCAGGGTCTCACTCTTGCTCAGGCTGGTCTCAAACTCCTGAGCTCAAGCAGTCGTCCCGCTTCAGCCTCCCAGAGTGCTAGGATTACAGGTGTGAGCCAGCACGCCTGGCCAATTTCTTTCTATTTTTAATAGAGATGGTGATCTTGCTCTTGCCCTTGCTTGTCTCCTGAGCTCAAGCAATCCTTCTACCTCTGCCTTTCAGAGTGGTAGGATTATAGGCGTGAGCTACCATACCTGGCTTAACATGTGTTTTTTTAACATCCATTTTTTATATCTGAGTGGATATGTAAGTTCATCAAAGGGTTTGTAGAAGTCTAGAAATTCCATCGGAAAAAGTGTTTTGAAGCTGGCTTCCATTGTTTTAGAAACAATTTCAGCTATATCACTTGAATTTTGATTTATTGATTTCTGTTGCTTATGTTTATTTTGGATATACAATGTTATTTTCTTTCTTTTAGATTTTTGCATCTTAAAATAATTATGACTCTAATTTTGGGATTGAATAACTTCAAATCTCTTGTGAAATAAAGTGGGTTGTGGAAAACCAAATAGACACTATTGGGCCATTGTTGGGATTTCCCTGTAATATACACTGCTTGATATTCTTATATTCACTTATATTTAAGAATGTAGTATCTTATTCTTTTTTCAGCAATTTATATATTTTTTCTTTATTTTTCCCCCCTTTATTAACTAAGATGGAAACAATTTATATATTTATGATATGATTAGATTTGGTATCACCGTTTATAGGTTGGAGTGGAGAATGGAGGTTATATAAATTATTTGTTTTCGCATTATTATAATAATTCTCTGAGATTGAAATTTTGGGTATTTGCTTTATAAAAAAGTAAAACTATCCTTAAATTTTACTTTTCTTTTTTTTTTTTTTTTTTTTTTGTGTGAAGGCTAGAGTGAGTGCCGTGGCGTCAGCCTAGCTCACAGCAACCTCAAACTCCTGGGCTCGAGTGATCCTTCTGCCTCAGCCTCCCGGGTAGCTGGCACTACAGGCATGCGCCACCATGCCCGGCTGATTTTTATATTATATATATTAGTTGGCCAATTCATTTCTTTCTATTTTTTATGGTAGAGATGGGGTCTCGCTCAGGCTGGTTTTGAACTCCTGACCTTGAGCAATCCGCCCACCTCGGCCTCCCAGAGTGCTAGGATTATAGGCGTGAGCCACCGCGCCTGGCAAATTTTACTTTTCTACCATTAGATTCTTTTAAATTATGACTTTGGATAATTGAATAGCCAAGGTTTTGTTCCTGGAGCTTTTGAGCCATCATTCAAAGTATCTTTGTAGCTTTGAATCACTCTCTATATTAGTGGGTTTAAGGCCTACTACACGGATGGGGAGGTGGCATGGAATAGTAGTTTGGGGTAAATAACATTTACATTATTTCTAAATCTGCATAGAAGAGGACTGTGGTAGGAAAACACAGTACATTGTCAGGGCAGCTGAGAGATGTAATTATTTAACAATAGGAGCTTAGGAAGAGGTTTGTCACCATTATCATCAAGCAAGTAGAACTACATGGAAAAGAATTAAAATGATAGGCAAGCAAGCTACAAGCTATGGGTAGTTTGGTTTGAAAAATAAGATCATCGTACACACTTTGAAGGAATGATAAATCTGAGTAACAACTATTCTCTTTGATAGACTTCATGGGAGACCGTAGGAGGAAAGAAGAGACATTTTGGAAAGGAAAGTACAGAAAACAAAGAGAATAGAGAGAAGAGAAGTGAGAGAGAAGCAAGTCGTGCACGTGGAAGCAACAACCGGAAAGGAAGAGGTGGCAATCGTGGTAGAGAGTGTAAGTGCAGAGTTTTCTCCTCAACATTTTCTTATGAGTTTTCATGCATTTTGAAAAGCTGAAAAACTAGTCCAAAGAATGCCCATAAATCAACTTCCTCAATGCAAAATTTGTTTTACATCTAGTACTAGAAACGAGCTGCAACTGAGTAGTTCATTAGGACCTCTGATGTGGTTTCATGTCAGCACTGACCTGGGCTGTAGGTAGGTAGTTGTGTAGTGTGTCTTAAGATTGCTTTCTCTTATGAATCAAGTGCATTCTCTAAAGGGCTTGTGTGTGCTTGTTGTTGGGTCATTCAAAGATGTACCTGTTTAATTTCCAAATTTATGCATTCTTATGGTATATGGACAAGGGTTAGACATGTCTAACATAAGAGGGAGGAAATGTTGGAAAGAGGAGGAGGAAAGTTGTCACATAAAGAAGACATTAGACCCAGGTTTTGGCACCATTTACCAAAAAACAACCCTGCCTGCTGTGGAGATAACATCAAAGTAGCTTGGCTGGGCTGGGTGGCTCACACCTGTAATCCTAGCACTCTAGGAGGCCCAGGGGGGAGGTTTGCTCAATGTCAGCAGTCCAAAGCCAGCCTGAGCAAGAGCAAGACCCCGTCTCTACTAAAAAATAGAAAGAAATTAATTGGCCAGCTAAAAATATATATACAAAAAATTAGCCAGGCATGTTGGCGCATGCCTGTAGTCCCAGCTACTTGGGAGGCTGAGGCAGAAGGATTGCTTGAGCCCCAGGAGTTTGAGGTTGCTGTGAGCTAGGCTGATGCCACGGCACTCTAGCCTGGGTAAGAGAATGAGACTCTGTCTCAAAACAGAAAAAACATCAAAGTAGCTAAGTTATGAATGAATAAAGCAAATATTTGACATATCACCTTAGAGACTTTTGCTAGCTCATTTTGAGTACCTGCTATGTAGTGGAAACTTCCTAGGCATACAGCAGTGATTAAAGCAGATAAAAATCTTTGCACTACTAAAACAATTTTTAATGAAGGTAGAGTGGGATGTAATGGTGTAAAAGAGAAGTAAAATATTTTATATTAATATAATATTTTAATGATGTTATTTAGAAACTATGGTATGGGGAAAAACAAAGGCAGAAGGTGAGATGAGAATTATGGGCCCATATTTGACAAATTTAAGTGGATTTCGAAGGAAAGGCTTACTGAGAACTTACGTGAATTAAGCCCTTAAACAGATGAGGGGGCAAAATATGCCGATATCTCTCATAAAATTTCTATATTACATTGAGTCATTAATGTAATGCCAATATAGGGATCAGGAAAAAATAAGATTCTGCTGGCATTTTCTGGACAGCATCCTAGGAAAACTCTTCTCTAACATTTTGATTTTTCTAATAATTCAGTGTTTCTTTGGTATTACTAGTTTGCTATTCTGTGCCTTTCCAGACTTTGAACTTAACTTCTGAGCAAATTCTGTGATGTATTACACAGATGCATAATGAAGGTGCTTTTTTGAGAAAAACTTTTAAGTTTAGGAGGGCTTATCTATATAAGAGAAAAAAAATCGATATTTTATTTTAATTTCTTTTTAGAAGGTTCACTTGTGAATTAAGCATGATGTGCTATCATTCAGTTTTTAGCCACTTTTGTTCTTGCTACTTCTGAACTCAGTTTAAATTTTAGCCAATTTTTAGGGTATTTTTTTTTTTTGTCACTTATTCCTTTGTTTTAATAGGTATCTGGTAAGCTTATGTCCAAGAGATTTACAAATGAAAAGGAAATTTTTCTGCTTTTTTTTCCCTCTTAGTTAGAGGTGAAGAAAATGGAATTGATAGCAATCAAGGGGACAAACCTTCAGATCGTGGCAAGCGAGCCCGAGGTAGAGGTAAGCCATAATCAGAAGGGAGGAAATGCTTTCAGAGGGAAGAAACAGGTGGTGGTTTTGCTGGGCTCTGACTAGGAATGACAGTGTGCTATGAAAGAATGATTGGTCTTCTAAAATCTCATTTGTTTCCTGATGCCTGTGAATGAACTGTTTATATTAATAGTTTTGAAGAAACCTGTTGATTGTTTTCAGATAAGCTTAGAAAGCCCTTTTCATGAATAATTTGAAAGCTGTTACTAGAAGTCATTATTCAGTTCACCTATGTTAGGACCGAGTGTGGTGGCTTATTATGCCTGTAATCCCAGCACTTTGACAGTCTGAGGTGGGAGGATTACTTGAGGCCAGGTGTTCGATACCAGCCTGAACAACATAGTGAGACCCCCATTTCTCCCTCCTCCCCACCCCCCTAAAAAAAATTAGCCAAGTGTGGTGGCGGATGCCTATATATAGTCCCAGCTCCTCAGGAGGCTCAGGGGGGAGGATCTCTTGAGCCTAGGTGTTTGAAGTTGCAATGAGTGGTGATGCCACTGTATTCCAGCCTGGGCAAGAGAGCGAGACCCTGTTTAAAAAGAAAGAAATTACCTATGTTGTAGTTTAACAGATGTGTCTTACCAGTATGATATGGCTTTAAAAATTTTTATTAATATTATTTTTATCTGACAAATTATAATTGTATTATGCTTAGAATATAGTGTGATTGTTTAAAACTTAATTAAAAATACTTTTATTGCTAAAAAATGCTAATGATCAGCTGAATCTTCAGTGAATGTCTTTTTGCTGGTGAAGGGTCTTGCCTTAATATTTACTGGGTGCTGACTGATCAGGGTGCTCGTTGCTGAAGGTTGAGGTGGCTGTGGAAATGAAAAGTAGCCTTCTCTGCTTTTTTTTTCCTCTTAAAGGTGAAGAAAATGGAATTGATTGCAATTTTACCTTAAATTTTTTTATTGATACATAATTATACATTTTGGGTACATGTGAATATTTTGTTAACATACATAGATAATACCTAAGGATCAAGTCAGGCTGTTTAGAATATCTATCACCTCAAGCATTTATCATTTCTATGTCTTGAGACCATTTCAAGGCCTTCCATGTAGCTATTTTGAAACGTACAATACATTCTTAATTATAGTCACCCAACCTTGCTATTGAACATTAGAACTTTTTGTCTATTTGTACCCATTAACAAACCTTTCTTCCCGTTATCTTCCCCACTGCCCCCTACATCCCACCACCTTCCTAGCCTCTGGTAATTATCATTCTGCTCTCTATCTTCATGAGATTAACTTTTAAAGCTCCCACATGGGAATTAGTACAGGTGACATTTCTTTTTCTGTGTCTGGTTTATTTCACTTAACATAATGCCCTCCCGTTCCATCCATGTTGCTGCAAATGACATGATTTCATTCATTTATTTATTTTTTATTTTTTTGAGACAGAGTCTTCCTTTGTTGCCCAGGCTAGAGTGAGTGCCGTGGCATCAGCCTAGCTCACAGCAACCTCAAACTCCTGGGCTCAAGCAATCCTGCTGTCTCAGCCTCCCGAGTAACTGGGACTACAGGCATGTGCCACCAGACCGGCTAATTTTGTCTATATGTTTTTAGTTGGCCAATTAATTTCTTTCTATTTATAGTAGAGACGGGGTCTCGCTCTTGCTCAGACTGGTTTCAAACTCCTGACTTCAAGCAATCTGCCTGCCTGGCCTTCCAGAGTGTTAGGATTACAGGCGTGAGCCACTGCTCCCGGCCTTAGCCTAATGTTTAAAACATTAATCCATGTAGCATGTATCAGTACTTTATTCCTTTTCCTGGCCAAATAATATTTCATTGCACGAATATGCTGCCTTTTTTTTTTTTTTTTTGAGACAGAGTCTCGCTTTGTTGTCCAGGCTAGAGTGAGTGCCGTGGCGTCAGCCTAGCTCACAGCAACCTCAAACTCCTGGGCTTGAGTGATCCTTCTGCCTCAGCCTCCCGAGTAGCTGGGACTACAGGCATGCGCCACCATGCCCGGCTAATTTTTTATATATATATCAGTTGGCCAATTAATTTCTTTCTGTATAGTAGAGACGGGTCTCGCTCTTGCTCAGGCTGGTTTTGAACTCCTGACCTTGAGCAATCCGCCCGCCTCGGCCTCCCAAGAGCTAGGATTACAGGCGTGAGCCACAGCGCCCGGCCTGCTTTTTTTTTTATAGTTAAAGGTTTTAAGTTTAAATCGAACTATTAAGTCAGCTATATACATGATAAAAAACAAGGTAAAATGAAGCATTCAAAGTAATATAAACTGTATCATTTGTCATCTATGTGATGATTTTATTGCTTTGGTTTTTAGTGGAAACATGTCATTTATTAACAGTTTTATTGAATCAGGTGTTAGGAGTGAGGAAGTTCAGGATAAGGGCAATTTGGACATTGATTTGCTTAAGGTATATTATAGTTCCTTTTAGTATTCGATCATTGTGATTATTACTGCCTAGGCTTTAGTTCGGTTCATCAAGTATACTTCATAGTTATTTAGCTGTGGAAAACCTTGGTTCCATAAAAGTGAAGAAAAACTGATAGTCTTAGTGATTCTGTGCCTAAGACAGCTGTTTAAAATAATAAAAGAAGAAATTAATATTTTTACCCATTTGAAAGGTATGGGGAGTTCCACATTTATGCAGAAATGGTCACTTCTGTAGCCACAGGAACTCCTTTCTTCTTCTCATCCCACCATCTAGTTTTTGTCTCTTAGTATACCTCTAAATCATGATTGTTTTAGGTGTTCAGTTTGGGTTGTTTTAAAAATATATATATTTTTTAAAATTGTGGTAAAATACACATAAGATACAATTTACCATCTTAACCAGTTTTAATTGTACAGTTCAGTGTTACTAAGAACTTATTTCATCTTGCAAAACTAAAACTCTTTTTATTTTTTTATTTTTTTGAGTCAGAGTCTCACACTGTTGCCGGGGCTAGAGTGCCATGGCGTCAGCCTAGCTCACAGCAACCTCTAACTCCTGGGCTCAAGCGATCCTCCTGCCTCAGGCTCCCAAGTAGCTGGGACTACAGGCATGCGCCACCATGCCCGGCTAATTTTTTCTATATATTTTTAGTTGTCTGGCTAATTTATTTCTATATTTTTAGTAGAAACGGGGTCTTGCTTTTGATCAGGCTGGTCTCAAACTGTTGAGCTCAAATGATCCTCCTCCCTCAGCCTCCCAGAGTGCTTAGGATTACAGGCGTGAGCTACCGCACCTGGTCTCCTCTAACAGTTTTATAGTTTTTGCTCGTAAGTTTAGGCCTTTGATACTCAGTTTTGGATTTTAATGAGGAGAAAGTGGAGAGGTGCTAAACAAAAATTTCTCTGCTTGCTTGTTCTCACGCTTGCTGCCATTTTGGTCATTGATCAAAATCCTGGCATTAAAAACAAGTTTAACAGTGCCTTCAGCTTACTTTGCAGTTTCTTTCTTTCTGGTTCTCAATATCTTTAATAGTAGTGGCTTATAATGTCATGGCATTTGCTCTACCTGATTTTAAAAGATGCAGACTCGCCAGGTGCGGTGGCTCACGCCTGTAATCCTAGCACTCTGGGAGGCCACGGCAGGTGGATTGTTTGAGCTCGGGGGTTCGAGACCAGCCTAAGCAAGAGCAAGACCCCATCTCCATTAAAAAAATACATAGATCCTAGCTCTTGGGAGGCCGAGGCGGGCGGATTGCTCAAGGTCAGGAGTTCAAAACCAGCCTGAGCAAGAGCGAGACCCCGTCTCTACTATAAATAGAAAGAAATTAATTGGCCAACTGATATATATATAAAAAAAAAAATTAGCCGGGCATGGTGGCGCATGCCTGTAGTCCCAGCTACCCGGGAGGCTGAGGCAGAAGGATCACTCGAGCCCAGGAGTGAGCTAGGCTGACGCCACGGCACTCACTCTAGCCTGGGCAACAAAGCGAGACTCTGTCTCAAAAGAAAAAAAAAAAACATAGAAAGAAATTAGCTGGACAACTAAAAATATATATAGAAAAAAATTAGCTGGGTATGGTGGCACATGCCTGTAGTCCCAGCTACTTGGGAGGCTGAGGCAGGAGGATTGTTGGAGCCCCAGAAGTTTGAGGTTGCTGTGAGCTAGGCTGACACCATGGCACGCTACCCTGGGCAATGGAGTGAGACTCTGTCTCAAAAAAATTAAATAAACAAATAAAAGATGCAGACTTACAATGTAACCTGCCAATGTTAAACTCTCAAATACCTCGAATATTATACAAGCAGAATTGAATCCTTTTCTAGCCTTTGAAGTCACTAACTGGGTAGGTAATTGTGTCAGCAGGGACCAACAAATTGGGTGCCAGATGGGAATGTTGGTGCTGCTGTTGGTAATATTGTTTGAGTAATGAGTATAGGATGAAGAAGTTGAAAGATGTCTAATTGTGCAGGACACCGGTATATATTTATTTATTTGTTTATTTAGGATTTGGACATGGCAGAGGGAGAGGGGCAGGAAGGTTCTCAACCCAAGGCATGGGGTAAGTGACAGCCATCTTATTTTTGTAGTTATTTTCTTCTCTAGTTATTATTCTAGTTTCCCTTATTTTATCCTATACCTAATTTACTTATCCTGGTGGGTCAGATGTTTTGTACACTTAAAAAGATTTAACTAACAAGTGAAATAGTCTAATTAAAAGTGATCTTTCAGTAAGCTTTAGAGCAGGGTTTGTAGCCTGGACATTATTAACATTTTGGATTTGATGATACTTTATAAACGTGGTGGGGTGTCCTGTGCATTGTAGGATGTTTTGCAACATCCCTATTCTCTCCCTACTAGGTGCCAGTAGCACCTCTTCTGATACTGTGACAATCAAAATGCCTACAGATTTAGCTAAATGTTCCCTGAGGTGGGGGGTGCAAAATCACCCCTAGTTGGAAACCACTGCATAATAGCTATGTTGGTAAATCCAGCAGTTTTCCCTGAATACTAAGTAAATGCAATGCTTACTTATGTAAAAGTGGTAAGTTTTTCCTAATCTGTAATAGTGAGTGATGAACATACTACATAGTTGCTGAAATCAATAGTTTATTCCTTATTTCTGAGTATTCTTTTACTTTTTGTTTGCTTCTAAAATACTAACTCCACCTGGATTTTTAGAAACAGTTAAGTTTTTAAGACATCTTAAGGAAAACATGTAGTGAAGGAAGGGACTTGGCTCAAGGAAAATCCCTTCTTGCTCTCTGGCTTCAGGGCAGCACTCTTGGAGTCAGTGCCTTCTAGAGATGGTGGTGCCTCCTACCATTTCTATTTTCTGCCTGTGGAAAAAAGAGAGATGAAAACACAGAGGAAACTGGCAGAAACACTGAAAGATATAAGCCTACCCATTAGCTTTAAACTGTTCTGTGGATTTTTATGTTTGCTTCATATTTGCTTTTGAAACTTTTAAAGGTAGCATTTATTTTGGCCCATCTTAGACCTCTGAATCATGATTCCTTATTAGTGCTTAGTTTAGAATTTTAATGAAAATAGAGATGCTGAACAAAATGCTTTCTTGTTATCAATATCCAATGTTTCTGTACATAAAGGAGCATGTAATTCTTTTGTACAAGGCTCAAAGCCAAACTTGCATTCTGACATGGGAAGAAAAAGCTTGTTGCTTATTTGTGCCTTAGTTTTCTGTTAGAGCTCTTATCCTGTCTTGAAAGATTCTAGGTTTCCATGTCTGCTTTAGAATGCAGAAGACAGTATTTTAGGAAAATAAGGCCGTCATACAAAAGAGTATGGAAGTCCCTAATCAACCTATGGCTTTTAAGATCTGCATCCACGTTGTAAGGGCAGAAGAGTATTTTACAGTGACTACTAGTAGGGACTGTGCTTGTTTGGAGGAATATCATGTACAGTTAATTTTGTGACTTTGGTGTTGCTTCATTTGTCTTTATTCTTTCTATATTTTATACCCCAGTACATTTAACCCTGCGGATTATTCAGATTCTACAACTACAAATGGGTGTGGGACAAAACTGGTAGTTTCAGAAGCTGTGCAGAATGGTGCTGCTGAGGGAACTGCTGGTAAGTGTTCTGTTTTTGTCAGAGATGGATTTTAAATATTTTAGCTATTAAGAGTTTATGTTGTCATACAAAGATTAAGTGGATGGAAGACAAAGAAAAACAGGCTACTGTCCTACTCTCAACTCTTAGTTGGTTTTTACCTCCAAAGTCTCTCACAAACATTGTTGATGACAAGGGATTTGATTTTCCTTGTGCACTCTGAGAGGTAATATGCATAAATCAGCACAGATCCTACACACTTCTTTTGCAATGTTCACAAATATGTAGAATTTCATAGGAGATTTTTTACTGAAAATACTTACCATTGCTCATGGTGGATGCTAACATTTCACCAGATGAGTAGGTTTTAGCAACATTGTTTCTGTAGGTGTTTTTCTTTATTTTTCTCCCAAAACAAGGTGCTCCTGTTTTGGGATCCTTTATTTTCTGAAATTCATGGATAAATATTTTTTGTTTATTTGCATGGAGTTATTCAGCAGATTTATTCATGATTATATAAATTGGCTATTGAGATTTTATTTATAAAATCATAAATTATTTTAAAAATTTTGTTTTGTTCTGTTTTTTAGACAGTCTCTTGCTCTGTTGCCCAGGCTAGAGTGTAGTGCCATTAGCATAGCTCATTACAACCTCCAACTCTTGGGCTTAAGTGATCCTCTGGCCTCATGCTCCCAAGTAGCTAGGGCCATAGGAGCATGCCACTATGCCTGGCTGGTGTGTGGTTTGTTTGTTTGTTGGGTTTTTTTGGTTGTTGTTGTTTTTGGTAGAGACAGGGTCTCACTCTTGCTCAGGCTGATCTTGAACTCCTGAGCTCAAATGATCTGCCCACCTCCCAGAGTGCTAGGATTATAGGCATGAGCCACTGTGCCTGGCCGAAACATTTAAATTATCTTTCTAATGATACTTAGCATTGTGCCTAACATATACACTGGCGTTAAAGCCAGTATCGATTAGTTGGTGACTTTGGATGAACAGTTTTTGTGGAAAATCTCAGCATAAATTATTTCCTATTATAATCTTAATTATAATTGTTTCCTATTATAATGTCACAAAGGTGTGAGTTTTAGGATTAATTTTTTTTTTTTGCTAATTTCGGCATATTATGGGGGTACAAATTTTAAGGTTTCAATAAATGCCCCCCCCCACTAGGATTGACTTTTGAGCTCATGAAATTGTTTTCCATTTCTTGGTTACAGTCTTCACAAAATTGCTTAGGTTTAGCCTTAGTTTTTGAGTAGAAATTGCAAATTTTTAGATTGGAGTGCTATTTTTTGTGATGAAATATGAGAGCATGAGTACAGGGTAGGGCTGATAGGGTGGTAGTAAGACACTGTACTGTAAGACAGACATCTTTCACATGAGTCCATTTATGAGCATATAAAACTACACTTAGTGAAATTATACTTAGAGAAAAGATTGGAGAGCTGGGTGCGGTGGCTCACGCCTGTAATCCTAGCACTCTGGGAATCCGAAGCAGGTGGATCAGTCAAGGTCAGGAGTTTGAAACCAGGTTGAGCAAGAGTGAGACCACGTCTCTACTAAAAAAATAGAACGAAACTAATTGGCCAACTAAAAATATGTAGAAAAAATTAGCTGGGCATGGTGGCACATGCCTGTAGTCCCAGCTACTTGGGAGGCTGAGGCAGGAGGATCGCTTGAGCCCAGGAGTTTGAGGTTGCTGTGAGCTAGGCTGACGCCATGGCACTCGGTCTGGTGCAACAGAGTGAGACTGACTCTCTCAAAAAAAAAAAAAAAAAAAAGGATTGGAGATTTTGTATTAATACTTTTACTTTAAGAAAGTCATACTATAGAAGAATGGTAAGAGTGAAGTGGAGGTGGATGGATCACCTTAGATTCATCTAGCTTTGTGTACAATGTGTTTTCTAAGGGCTTTGTGCAGTTTTCTAGAGAATAAGCTTCCATTACTGATTTTCTACTGGTCTAGTTGCAACTTGTGTTTTGCAATTGAACTATTACTTTTTTCTACCTTTGTTTAAGAAAATATCTTAATTCAAAGATATGTTATACATGTACAGAAATTATATTTGTTTTATGACAGTTCTGGAGCAATTATGGAAACCATTTAAAGGTATGATGAGTAAGTCAACACAAAGGATCAGATTGTCAGTGTTTCTTAATATCAAATTTTACTAATAATTCAAGGATACTAGCAATCAAGAGGCACAGAAGAAGCAGGGAAGAAGGTCTGGGATCTCCATTGCTTCTAGCCATGGTTTTCCTTCCTGCAACACATACAGTCTGTGGTTCAGAGTAATAGATAGAGGCCAGGTGTGGTGGCTCATGCCTGTAATCCTAGCACTCTGGGAGGTCGAGGTGGGCGGATCGCTCAAAATCAGGAGTTTGAAACCAGCCTGAGCAAGAGCAAGACCCCGTCTCTACTATAAATAGAAAGAAATTAATTGGCCAACTAAAAATATATATACAAAAAATTGGCTGAACATGGTGGCGCATGCCTGTAGTCCCAGCTACTTGAGAGGCTGAGGCAGCAGGATGGCTTCAGCCCAGGAGATTGAGGTTTCTGTGAGCTAGGATGAGGCCATGTCAGCCCAGGAGATTGAGGTTTCTGTGAGCTAGGATGAGGCCACGGAACTCACTCTAGCCTGGGCAAAAAAGTGAGACTATGTCTCAAAAAAAAATAGATGGAGGTCTACAGGTGACATGTCAGTTTGTCACACAGCAGGAAATGTTTTCAGTTTTGAAACTTCTTCATTTCATACCCATGTATTAGCATAACTTATATAACATTTTACAGAGAGCCATCCCAGTCCTAAATCAAGGACATGCTGTCAAAAGCATTCCATAGATAAGGACTCTTCCTAGGAAACAACCATTATTTATGAGCAAGCTGGTTATTAGGTTAACATGATTCTAAGGAAGTTAGACCTGGTCACCTGCCTTCTTTTTTCTCAAGACTGTGCCCTCTTCCTTTTCCCTTTTCCTAGTACACACGGAAACTTTTGGAGAGGAATGGGATTTTGCTTATCAGATGCTTAAGTCCTTTCTTCTAATGACTGAACTGAAAACATATCCAAAATCCCAGAATTTTGGATGTGGTTATCATTAATGTGTTTAAAAACATTTTCGGCCGGGTGTGGTGGCTCACGCCTGTAATCCGTAATCCTAGCACTCTGGGAGGCCAAGGCAGGCGGATTGCTCCAGGTCAGGAGTTCGAGAACAGCCTGAACAAGAGCGAGACCCCGTCTCTATTATAAATAAAAATAAATTAATTGGCCAACTAATATATAAAGAAAAAATTAGCTGGGCATGGTGGTGCATGCCTGTAGTCCCAGCTATTCGGGAGGCTGAGGCAGAAGGATTGCTTGAGCCCAGGAGTTTGAGGTTGCTGTGAGCTAGGCTGATGCCATGGCACTCACTCTAGCCTGGGCAACAAAGTGAGACTCTGTCTCAAAAAAAAAAAAAAAAATTCTATGAGTATGTGTTTTTAAGCCTGCTTCAAATATGGGCTTGTACTTATACAGGATTTGAACATACTAAGTTAACATTTTTGAATACCACTACATTTCTTTAAAGCAGGGGTCCCCAACCTGTGGTGAGTTGTATAATTATTTCATTATATATTACAGTGTAATAATAATTACTAAAGTGCACAGTAAATGTAACATGCTTGAATCATCTCAAAACCACCATCCCCACCTCCCACTCTGTGGAAAAATTGTCTTCTATCAAAATAGTCCCTTGTGCCAAAAAGGTTGGGGACCACTGCTTTATAGCACTCAAATGTTCTGTGGGTGATAATTCTGTAAGAACTATTCTTGTATATCATGTTACCTGCTTCTCAGGACTTACAGCAGCCAACTTAATGAGATAAACTTTGCTAGATGACCTATTAGGGAACTGTGTAGTAGAGCTGATATTTTATAAAAAGGGTGCTTGCTTGTCTAAATTTCAATTCAGCAATCCACCTGTAATATTGCGGATCTAAGGCAAATTTGTCTTCAAATGAAATTTGTTTTGTTTTAAAATTAACTTGCTGTTAAATGTATTTATGCTGTGCCCATATTTTTTTACTCATAGCAGAATAGTTTGGAGATACGCTCTACATTGAAGCAAAGTTATTTTTGAGACATTGATTTGAGTTTATGCAGGCAGTACTAGACGGGTTGCATTTGAGAACATTATGATTTAATGGAGAAGAGATTAATAACCTCATAGTTCTTGGATTATAAACTAAATTGCTAATGGGGTGTCTGACACTTTTTCTTACATTGTGCAAAAAAGGAATCCCTTACACTCTGATGGTATTTGACTTTGTGATGTAAACTTGGATTATGATTGTTGTCATTTCCCATTAGGGGCCTGGAAGAATTCTGTCGAAGAGTGGACAACAGAAGACTGGACTGAAGATGTAAGTGTTTGGTGTGAGACCACATCCGTCTTCCTTTTGGTTTATGGTGTGGGCATCTGTGCATGGAAGAAAGCCTGAGACATCTTATCTCATCTTGGCTTCTTTTCTGGCATGTACCCTAGCAAGGTTCTTAGAGAGTTGGGTTTTTAAAAAGTATTCACTTAAAAATGACCAGTGTCATGTAGGACTGAAAAAAAAATTTTTTTTAAAAGATTAGGGGTCTTACTCTGTTTCCTAGGCTGCAGTGCAGTAGAATGATCATAGCTCATTGTAACTCCTGGGCTTAAGCAGTCCTCCCTTCCACCCTAGCCTCCCGTGTGGCTAGGACTGCAGGCAAGCACCATCTCTCTTGGGTATTTAAAAAATGTTTGTTTGTTTGTTTGTTTTTTGGCTGGGCGCGGTGGCTCACGCCTTTAATCCTAGCACTCTGGGAGGCTGAGGCGGGCGGATTGCTCGAGGTCAGGAGTTTGAAACCAGCCTGAGCAAGAGCAAGACCCCGTCTCTACTATAAATAGAAAGAAATTAATCGGCCAACTAATATATATATAGAAAAAATTAGCCGGGCATGGTGGCACATGCCTGTAGTCACAGCGACTTGGGAGGCTGAGGCAGTAGGATTACTTGAGCCCAGGAGTTGAGGTTGCTGTGAGCGAGGCTGACAGCAACCTCAACTCCTGGGCACGGCACTCACTGTAGCCTGGGCAACAGAGTGAGACTCTGTCTCAAAAAAAAAAAAAAAAAGTTTTTTTGTAGAGATGGGATCTCTCTCTGTTGTACACACTGGTATTTAACTTCTGGGCTCAAGCGATTCTCCTGCCTCAGCCCCCCAGAGTGTTGAGATTACAGACTTGAGCCACTGTGCCCTGCTGTTTTGGTTTTATATTATACAGAATAAGATTAAAAATTTTTTCTTTGAAACCTCCCACACAGCTTTCTGAAACAAAGGTCTTCACTGCCTCATCTGTTCCTGCAGAAAATCACATGACACCGGGGCAAAGGTAATCACTGTTTGCCATCTTGTATTTATTATATTAAAGCATAATTGAAAGTTTTTGTCTTTGGAAAAGTATTTTTATCTTGGGGTGTCTTTCTGTTTTTTTCCTTTTTATCTAAGATTAAGCTTTATTTTACCTGTACTTAGTGTGCTGACAGAGCTTCAATCACTTCCTAATTGTATCCAGTGATGAAAGAAAATAGCAATTAATTTTGTGATTTGTTAGCACTTGTTGCAGGGATTATTATGTTAAACCTATTTAATGGTTGCTCTTTTCCCTTTTGTTGTCCTATTTTTTTGACAATGAACTGTAATACATTCTATCATTTAGTTTCTTCATGTAATACCATTTGTTTACATCTTCTAAAGCTAATATAGAATTATTTTATTTGGGCTCTACTAGTTTAAATCTACTAGATTACAGAAAAGGAGATTTGGAGTAACAGCAAGATTCTTAGAATGTGCACTGATCTGAATTACTGAGTAGCATTTATTTATAGTCTAGTTTTCACAGTAACTCTAACTACCTTTTTTTTTTTTTTTTTTTTTTTTTTTTGAGACAGAGTCTCGCTTTGTTGCCCAGGCTAGAGTGAGTGCCGTGGCGTCAGCCTAGCTCACAGCAACCTCAAACTCCTGGGCTCAAGCAATCCTTCTGCCTCAGCCTCCCAAGTAGCTGGGACTACAGGCATGCGCCACCATGCCCGGCTAATTTTTTATATATATATCAGTTTAACCCACTACCATAGGACCAGCCAAATTTCTTTCTATTTATAGTAGAGACGGGGTCTCGCTCTTGCTCAGGCTGGTTTTGAACTCCTGACCTTGAGCAATCCGCCCGCCTCGGCCTCCCAAGAGCTAGGATTACAGGCGTGAGCCACAGCGCCCGGCCTCTAACTACCTTTGAAAATGCTTTTCAAATGCAATGATTTAGAAAAATGAAAGCCTGGATATGTATGACACCTTAGAAATGAAGACAGTTTAGAACCTGATATGCTCACTCTCATGATAAATGAGATGGTTATGAGACTTCATTATAAAGAAATAAAAATGATTAATGGTTATATCTCACAATATATTATTTTGTGAATTTCTTGTTAAATACATGTACCTTCTCTATTGTATTTATGAATGAATTTTCTAGTATTATTTTTCATTTGTTCCCCTAGTATAGGTAGTGGATTTGCAACATTTTTCATTCTTTTAAAAAAACAATTAATTTGACTTTTTAGTGGCTCTTATATTTATTCTTCAGAAGATAGTGCAGTACTGTTGTTTTTATTTTTTTTATTTTAGTGAATTATGGGGGTACAAGTGTTAAGGTTGCATGTATTACCCATGCCCCCCCTCCTCCATGAATACCCATCTCCTCCTCCCACCTCCCCGACACCTGGTAAATGTTATTCCTATATGTCCACTTAGGTGTTGATCTGTTAATACCAATTTGCTGGTGAGTACATGTATTGATTGTTTTTCCATTCTTTTGTTTTGTTTTGTTTTTAAAGCCAGTCCAATTTAGCAGTGGGGGAGTGAATACCAACTTTAGCGACACTAATAATGTTAATAAATTCTGATAACCCACTACCATAGGACCAGCCTGTTTTTCCATTCTTGAGATACTTCATTTAGTAGAATGGGTTTCAGCTCTATCCAGGAATATACAAGAGGTGCTATATCACCATTGTTTCTTTTTCTTTTTTTGAGACAGAGTCTCGCTTTGTTGCCCAGGTTAGTCTGAGTGCTGTGGCGTCAGCCTAGCTCACAGCAACCTCAAACTCCTGGGCTCAAGCAATCCTGCTGCCTCAGCCTCCAGAGTAGTTTGGACTACAGGCATGCGGCACCATGCCCAGCTAATTTTTTCTATATATATATTAGTTGGCCAATTAATTTCTTTCTATTTATAGTAGAGACGGGGTCTTGCTCTTGCTCAGGCTGGTTTTGAACTCCTGACCTTGAGCAATCCACCCGCCTCGGCCTCCCAAAGTGCTAGGATTACAGGCGTGAGCCACCACGCCCGGCCTTCTTTTTTTTTTTCAATAAAGCGCTGTCAGAAGATGTTTATTTTTTTAAAGAACCAACTTTTTGTTTTGTTAATCTTCTGTATGGTTTCCCTGTTGTCACTATCGTTTAGTTTTGATTTGATCTTAATGATTTCACTTCTGCTGGGTTTGGGGTTGGTCTGTTATTCTAGCTCTTTGAGATGATTCATTATGTTGTCTATTTGTGAGCTTTTAGACTTTTGGATACAGGAATTTATGGAAATAAACTTTCCTCTCAGGACTACTTTAGCTGTGTCCTACAGGTTTTGATAACTTGTGTCTCCTTTGTCATTTAGTTCAAAGAATCTTTTAATTTCCATCTTGATTTCCTTGTTTATGAAGTGGTCATTCAGCATTAGGTTGTTTAGTTTCCATGACTTTGTGTAAAAATGAGAGTTCCTGTTAGGGTTGATTTCAACTTTTATTCCATTGTGATCTGTAAAGATTCATGGTATAATTTCTATTTTTAAAATTGTTTGAGACATGCTTTGTGTCCTAGGATATGATCAGTGTTAGAGAATGACCCATGAGCTGATGAGAAGAACGTATATTCAGTGGTTTGGGGGTAGAATGTCCTGTAAACATCAGTCAGGCCCGTTTGTTCTAGAGTTCCACTTACGTCCATTATTTCTTTGTTGATTTTTTGTTTGGAGGATGTGTCCTGTGCTGTCAGTGGGGTGTTAAAGTCTGTGACTATTATGGTGGTGTTGTTTATCCATTAGTTTAGATCAAGTAGAGTTTGCTTTATGAATCTGGGTGCACTAAGGTTGGGTGCATATATATTTAGAATTGTGTCTTGTTGTTGAACTGTACCCTTCACCATTATATAGTGATCTCGGGTCTGTGCACGGGGAGGTGCCCTAAGGGAGTTGGGAGCCTGGTGCTGTGTCTGCTACAGGCTTACCGCTCACTGGCGGTGCCGTCTCTGGCCTGGTGTCCGCAGGTCTCTCCACCTGCTGAGGAGCACACCAGCAGTCCCAGATGCAAGGGAGAGGAAAGTTAATTGCTCCACCTACCTACCCTTGCCGCTGGTCTCTAGGCTACTCGGAGGTCTCTGCTTCCAGTCTCCAGTACCCCTCCTTCAGCTGATGTATGCTCGTCTGCCTGCTTCTTTCTTCTAATTTCTTCTAGAAACTGTCTTTTTTACAGAGACACTCTGTCTGGCGGTGTTTCTCGTCTGCCATCTTGTTCCGCCTGCAGTACTGTTATTTTAGACATGTGAACTTGCTCTGTTTATTGGTAGTAATAAACATTTTTTTTCCTTTTTTCTTTTTTTTGAGACATAGTGTCACTCTGTTGCCCGGGCTAGAGTGCCATGGCATTAGCCTAGCTCACAGCAATCCCAAATTCCTGGGCTCAAGCGATCCTTCTGCCTCAGCCTCCCAAGTAGCTGGGACTACAGGCATGTGCCACTATACCTGGTTAATTTTTTCTGTATATTTTAGTTGGCCAATTAATTTCTTTTTTTTTTTTTTTTTTGAGACAGAGTCTCGCTTTGTTGCATAGGCTAGAGTGAGTTCCGTGGCATCAGCCTAGCTCACACCAGCCCAGGTAACATAGTAAGACTGTGTCTCTACCAAAATAATTTTTAAAAATTAGCTGGGCGCAGTGGCATGCACCTGTAGTCCTAGCTACTTGGGAGGGTGAGACAGGATCACTTGTGCCCAGGAGTTTGAAGCTGCAGTCAGCTGTGATTGTGCCATTCCATTCCAGTCTGGGCAACAAAGTGAGACACTTTCTCACTTAAAAAAAAAAAAAAAAAAAAAAAA